TTGTTGGGTTTACTGATTACTACAAAAAGACACATTGTAAATATATTTAGATAGGCAATATTGTGAAACTAATTTTATATAGCTGAAAATTGTTCTATATATAGCTGTAACATTCAAACATACATAAGGACATATTGTAAATAATAGAAAGGCCAATTGTAAAATTAATTTAGGGTGGTACACTTGTATGGGTGGTATTACTGATTACCTACCTGTATGAGGTACCTGATTAGTATAAGTAGCTTTAGTTTTGAGTAGTTATTAGTTTTATCTTCCTCTTGAAGATGATCACTTGGTGATCGAAACACCTGTTGAGGTGTAAAAATAACGATTTGGTGTTGGGAAAAAACTCCAGTAATATTCACTGATCCAGAATACCAACAACATTCAAATATTTCTATATCTGAACTAAGTACCTTAAGAAATTTCAAAATCAATTTCTGGTTCCCAGAACAGTTGTTGTTCTCTTGATTTTTTAAAAAAGTTCAGCTTTGAGTCATTGCAAACTTGGCATGGAAATTGTTATGAATGACAGAACTTCCTTGCAAACTGAAAAATGAGACATTGTGAATCAATCTCGATGAATCTCTATTCCATTTTCCTTTCCAAGACCCGGCTTTGAAAAAACCCGTTAAAATCATTTTAACCTAGAACTAAAATTAATGTTACTCTTCCGGCCATCCGAGATCCTCCCCTACCAGCTCGTAAAATTTCTGATTATGCTCTCCAAAGTACTTCCTTAGCTTGGACACCACTTCAGGGTCCACCCTGGGGTGTTTCCTCCCTTTGGTCTCCCTCAGACATCTATCCGACGTTTCGTTCCTCAGACAGTAGAACCCTTTGGTTTCGTTGAAGTAGAAATTATGTGTGCCTATTCTAGGCTCTATGCCTAGGAATCGCTCGATTTTTTGTACTTGAGATACAGGGTCCTCGATGAGGAGGTCTCCGTTCACGATGAGGATCTGATCCCTGGGGAATACTTCGAGCCACCTGTAATTTCGTCAAATTCGGTTATGATAACTTCATTTTGATCACGAATGTCATTTAAATCGTCGTTATGGAATAACATACATTTTATTTATACATGAATATAGAAGGTGTGAATATTAAGATATATTTTACAGTCATTCAAGTTTTCCAAAATATCAATACAAATAGGAAGAACATATGATATAAAATATCTTGAATATATTCATTCGTTTGTTTATATTTGGTGACAATCAAAACACCATTTGGCAATATCAAAAATATTTAAAGTTTGAATTTTCTCAGTATCTGAAGGAAGGCAATTGAAGACCTCCGACATTACAAGGGAAGAAGATATTTTGAATGGAACACTACATTGTTAGTCCAGTCATTATAGTAAGTTCACCTCAGAATTCGAGATACCCAGCTGTAAGTCTGCAAATACTTGTATATTGACACCCTTGAAGTTGTCTCAAAACCTACATATGGTAGGGTGTAAGCAACTATTAAATTTCAAGNAAAAAATTTTTTTAAACAAAATTTGTAGAGAATTTTGTATTCCACAATATCGATATTGAATACAAATAGCAAAAAACCCATAGGAAATGAGATATTTCCAAAAGAAGCGCAAAAAAACGATTTTTGTGACCTTTGACCTTGAAATTTAATAGTTGCTTACACCCTACCATATGTAGGTTTTGGGACAACTTTCAGAGTGTACATATACAAGTATTTACAGACTTACAGCTGGGTATTTCGAATTCCGAGATTATTACCTAATTTAAGCTCAAATGACTGGATTATGTTAGGATTCCTCTACAGGCTTGTGTCTGACAACCTGCGGAGAATAAGTTTTTGTTTAGCATCCATTATAGGTCGATTTTTTCTACATGTTACGTTCAACTTCAGTTGAAATTCCATATTAGGAAAAATATCACTCCTTAGGAACTCCATTATCCATAAAGAAGGGACCTTTTCCATGCATTCTTCTTGTAAAGGTTGCCTTTTATATTTCTGGATTAGAGAACAAAAACAAATATTAATCATCAAAAATCACTTTATTGTTTTCAAAAATATTCCCTATGAAGACATATACACTTTTGCATGCGTTTGAACCAATTTTCGAAGCACTTTCGCCACTCTGATTGAGTTTGTGATGCACTGTTTGGAACCTTTGGTGTAGTAATGAATATTACTGGAGTTTTTTCCCAACACAAAATCATTATTTGCAACACCTCGACACGTGTTTCGATCACCAAGTGATCATCTTCAAAGAGAAATATTACTCTTTCTCACTTCCTCACTTCAAAGAGGAAGATTAATCTTCCTCACTTCCTCACTTCAAAGAGGAAGATTAATCTTCCTCTTTGAAGATGACCACTTGGTGATCGAAACACGTGTCGAGGTGGTGGAGGTGTCAAAAATAACGATTTGGTGTTGGGAAAAAACTCCAGTAATATTTACACTGATTGAGGTATCTCCAAAACATGCATTCTAAATGCAGCAACCGCTTCTTCAGGTGTCGAAGAAGCGAGGGAATGAAAGGAAGTCATTTGGTGCCAAGTCAGGACTATACGGCGGATGACTCATTAAATCGATGTTTTGGGTGCTCAAAAATACAGTTGTTTGAGCCGATGTGTGAGAGCTCACACTGGCTTGGTGAAGAGTGAGCCGTTTTGGGCGGTTGTTTTTCCTCATTTCTTGGAGACAACTGGCAAACAAATGGTTGTGTACCACTCAGAATTGGGAGTTATGCGTTGTTCTAGTGGTACGGTTGCGACATGTCCAGTTTTTCCCAAAAAACAGGCGACCATTTGCTTGGAAGTGCTTTGTGCGCGAACAACTTCTGTTGGATTTGGCTCATATTGGAAGTATCATCAAATGGCCCTGATTTCGATTGTATTGAATAAATATCTAGTGAGATATTAGCGTTGAAATTAGACTCAAAAAATCTAAAAAACTTTTGAAACGACCCAATATTACGCAGTAACTTTTTTTGATGAACTTTTCAGTTCATCACATTTGAACATATTCTCCCTTCATCAATATTGTGGGAGGTTAGAAATTCAAAAACCACTGAGGAATTCCTCCACAAAGAATGGTGTCTTTCAAAGAACAATCAATACTCTGTTCAAATAGAAAGGGGCATATTTTGAGAAGAGATAAGTCTGTGGAAAAGAAAGGTACTGGCCAAAAACCTTTCTTTCCAAAATGGGTGCAATTTCAAGAGTAGTTTTCTCAAAAAAGTAAACACCTGGTTTTGATTTTCGGGAAAATAATTTTTGAAATCCCGAATATATCGAATAATTTGCTTCACGACAATTCAAATGATCAAAACTATCTCAAATCTAATTCGATATGAAATATTCCCATATTTGAAAATTGTCGCCTATCAAAAAATGTTCTTTTTTTGTTAACTTACCAGTGCTTACATACTTCGAATATTCCTCTAGTTGTGGGGATACCTTGTGAGAAAATAATAGTTGGAATTCCCTGTGTATATGATTTCACCTGATTTGATTTTCAGATGAAATAAGCCAGTTTAAGTGTTCCGAAAGTGAGTATATTTCCAAACTACTGTGAGTTTGAACTACTGAAATGAACCAACCCTGAAATTGCTCCGAATTCAGTCTGTATAATGTCATGCATGATATGATTTTGTAGTATAAATTACAGAGACCAGCGGATGACTTTCCTATCAGAATTACCTGTGCATGTAGTTATGGTACACCGAGATGGAAAGCGGTTTGTACGCTTCATTTATGGAACCATTCGGGAAAATGGCGAGCTGCTCAAACGACTTCGGGGTGGGGATTGGCAGGGTTGGGGGAGCTGTAGCTGCATTCGCCCTCAGCTGTGTGTAATCTGATATCGCTCTGGTGACAGGTTCTCGAACTATTAGCAGGAGTTTCACGCTGGCATTCATTGCACGAATTCGTTCGGGCACCTGAGAAAAAAACATTTTTGTGGGTTGTTGCTTGTCTCGTTTGGAAAGAAATCTTCTCGAGTCTCCGGGAAGACTAATAAACAAGAAACTTTGATATACCAATCATTTTTCAAGCACAGGTAATTTTCATATGTAAACGCACCCCTTTCACCCCCACGGGAAAGCCCCAGTTGAAATATCCAAAAATTCTTCTTCATTGCGCATTTAAGAACCCTGAGAAGCACCCCTGAGAAATTTCAGCTTCCTAAGTTTTATCAGTTCGGAGAAACAGATATGAATGTGTTTTAAGTGACTGACTTTCGCATTTATGAGTGTAGATAATATTTTGTTTGAATTCCTTCATTCCTCAAAACCAGACACAGTTCTATATCAAAATCACCCATCATTATTTTCATGACACCTATTCATTGTTCATTTGTCCTCGCATGTTGTTTTCATTTCTCGAATATTCCAGTTCATTTTATTCTTGTTGAAACTTTTTCAAGCAATAGGAGTTCGAGTGTAATATTTAACAAGAAATAGTGCCAATTCCATTCAGACATATGTTTTCGATATTGTTTTTGGTTTGAATTCAAAATGAATCTGTTCTCTCTATGTAGTATCACATTGATAATCGAAAAATTTTTTCAGAAAAATCCGTTTTTGTCTTTCATGGAGCCACAAACATTCGATGCTGTAATTTGGCGAAAGAACTGGTGATTAAAATTTTTATACTGTGGCCTGTTTTTCATTTTTGTGTGGCATTCAGTTTCATATTTTCACAATCCCAGGGAGTTCAATCTGGAAAACAAAAGCGATAATCACTTGTCAAAAGTCACGGCAGACCTGTTTTTCATGTTTGTGTGGCATTCAGTTTCATATTTTAACAATCCCAGGGAGTTCAATCTGGAAAACAAAAGCGATAATCACTTGTCAAAAGTCACCTCTCCACGTGAGGCTGATGTTTTCGTAAAAATGTGTCTCCATGAAAAGTAAACATAATGTGTTTTCCAATTTTTCCAGTCTTGATATCAAATCAGTTATTGTTATCAATATTTCATGGTGTAATAGTTCACGTTCTACTTTTTTGTTTTTGATATTCGTGGTTTGAAGTAACGCAGGTTCAATCTAACGAGGTAATGGTGACAGGCGTGTGAATTTTGAGCTTGATTTGAAAATCATGGAGTAGCTGGAACCAGCAGATCAATACAGTCACCAATGTGAAATTAAACTAACGCGCCTCCGCCATTGTATCAAATTTCAATCCCCAATTCCTCCGCCAAAACATGCGTTCGATTTTGTTTTGTGGTTTGCGGCATAATACCGCCAAACACCTGCGCCTCCGCCATTGAATCAAATTTAAATTGCTGCTACCTTCGCCAAAATATGCGTTCCAATTTGTTTTATGGTTTGCAACATAAAATTTTTACTTTTGGCTTTGATTTCTTCGATCAGTCAAAATACACACTATTCAAATACAAAATGATTCATTTATTTTTAACAAGAAAATGCTACATTTGATATAGTTTGTTTGTAGTGGAATATCCTTTCTTCTGTTACTTGTTCACACAGAAATCAAATATTCTTTTTGTTGAATTCGTTCTCTTCCATAGAAATCTGTTCTGGGAATAATTTTCATTATCAACATAGCAGTAGGACTGTACTGTCGTTCGCAGTATATCCAGCCAACACATCATTTATGAATACAAGATTCATGTTGAAATAATTTTCTTCATAAAGTTTTTAATGATTTATCAACAGTACCTACTGTTATATAAATGACATTGTAGAATAGTTTGATGTACCAGTATAACTGATGAAGTACCCGTGTAGCGAAACGCGTATTCAATTAAATCCATTGTGGAAAATCTACAATTTTAATTACACATTATTTTTTCATTGATGAGCAAACTGAGAATATATGTCATTATATATTAGGATATAATGAAAAAAAAAACACTATGATCATGTATCAATTCACTTTCAAAATCGACTCACTTCTGGAGTAACGAAATAACTAGGACTCTTCTCGATGGTAATTTGTCCTGGATACGAATGAGGCATCTGCATTCTATACCATTCTAATCCCCTGTAATAATTGTCATCCCTGTCAAAGAAATGGACTTCTCCAGCAGCTTTCTGTATCATTGGATGAAGGTACAGCATTTCCAAAAGAGCTCTTGTTCCACATTTCCGCACCCCCATTATGATTGCCTGAAATAGAACAGATACTTAAATGAGGAATATAGCTATTTGTATTCCCATTTTGTTAGTTTGAAAGTGATCCTAAGATTTTTATAAAACTATTATAGAAATTATATTTCCAACATTGATTTTCGAAACTGTGTACTGTCAAATATTTTTTTCACGAAAGTCAAGGCTTTGATGAAGCAAGAAGTGGATTTTCCACGTTGATTTTTCAGAAATAAGGTTTCTCAGATACTTTCAATAAAGACCCGAACATAATGAAACAAATAGCCTTCAATAATGATTACGATAGCAGTCAAATACATTCTTTATTATCAAAATAGTTATACAGCCAAGCATTGAAGGAAGTTTACCAAATTCAAAGGAAAGAAGATGAAAGTAATAGAAGCTTTACCTACCCAGGCCAACCCACTACAAATATTCTAGATTTTCTGCACACCAAAGGTGTAAATATGGCTTTCAAAACCAACAACTTAGGCATGCACATTAAAAATAACAAAGATAAAAGTTCAGTTTCAGTAAAATCAGGAGTGTATACATTATCATGTGGGTCATGTCCGATGTTTTATATAGGTCAAACTGGGATAACATTCAAAGCACCCATAAAGGAACACAAAAATAGTTTACAGAAAGCAAAAATTAATTCCTCATGTGTCACTCATTCAATCACAGAGTGGCATGAATTCAACCATGAATCAAACTGAACAATCCCCATAAAAGTATCTGTGAAAGAGATACAAATCTCCAACCTTTTTTCGATGTTCCAGAAATTCAAGGTTGCAAGTGATGTTGTCGTCTCCAATAAATCGGATGGCTCTTTTCTGGATGTAATCCAGCAGCTTCAGGATATGTTTATGGGCGGAGCGCCACACAATACTACTAAGGTCTGATCTGAGCTTCATGAAGCATCAAAAGTTACTGAGACCTGTACAGTTGTCTGATTCGGAACAGTGTGCTGAGATTCTGAGAAGCAGTATTTGCGATTCCAGCGACATGATTGTGCCAAGACATATTGGTGTTCATTTCAACCCCAAACAAACTTATCGAATCGACACAGGAAGCGAAGTTGTCTGTCTTGAAATTATTATATCCGGTTCGGAGACATTTATTATTTGAAGAAAACCGGCAGCAAAGCAATATTTTGGATTTTATTCAAAAAATCGTTGGTATACAACAATATGGATCCTTGAGAAATACCAGCGTTTATGGTTACATTGTTCAAGAGATATTCATCTTTCAGAAATCTGAAAAGACTCTGCTTAGTTCCTGAGTCGTATTAGTTTCACTTGGAGACTAGTGAGAATTAAAATAAAATCTCTGATCAGCTTCTGAGTAAAAATCTGTACCACCAAGTACGTGAATTTACCTGAGGTAGTCTTCTAGCAGCTGCTGGATAAAGCCTTCTGGAGAGGAGGAGAATTGGGGGCCGCGCTTGTTCCGTGTTGGTTGCTTGAAGACTGTTAAGGGCGCTGTCATAAATCAAATGGAAAGTGAGAAATAGGGACAGCAGCATGATCGTGAGAATCGCCAACGCCATCTTTGGTCGGGAAACTCCCACCACCAGAACGCAGTCTGATGGATCGCCCTCCACTGACTTCATTGCCGCCCTCGGTAGCCATCTGAAACAAAATCAATAATGAACAGAGAACATAATTGGTGCAGAATTAAGTCGACGGGTTTGTTTGCCATGGTCCGAAGGTATTTATATATGAAATTTCATCTACAACTGCGGTAAATATTATCAAAAGCGCATACTACATTGTATGCGCTTTTTCATAGTCAAATGCTCATGCATTATAAAGCCATTAAATTTTTTTGATATCTTTACAATGTCAGCTAACTCACGCAATTTCACTTTTCGATCATTCAAAACGATTTTGTGGATTTTGTTTATGTTTACTGGTGTTACTGCCTTCTGCATCATCGGTGTCTCTACCACCACGTTACAAGTTCAGCAAACCAACATTTAATTGTTGTTTGTGATGAAGCGGCGTCCTTATAACACTTTTCAAGCCATTGCTTCGCTTGAAAGGTATTTTTTCCCATCAAGAAGCAGAACACAAAAGTAGTGTCACTCTTAACACAATAACTCACTAACTTATGAGTAGAATATCATGAAATTTCAACAGCTTCGTTTTGAAGGTTGTTACTGAACTGAAAAAAACTGAAAATGCAGTCCTCGTCAAGTAAAGTAGGTAAAGATGTGAAATTCCTCTCAAACAACCATGAAGTTTGAGGTCTCAAATGCTATAGTAATACTGAGATGCAGTAAGTCTCCATATTCTGGTTTGCTTTTAAATAATAATTTCGTTTCGTTACGTACAGCACCATCTGCCCGCGAATAGGTCAAGCAATAATGCCGATAATTCTATCAATAGAGATCCCGAGCTTGAGAGTTACAAATAAACATATATACATACATACAGGTGAAGCTAATATAAAGCGTATATCACAAAGATAAAGCAAAATATTTCGTCCTTTGTGACGGGGTCATAGAATATTGATGCAGGATTGAATTCACCTGTGGTAGATTTTGTGTAAAACTGTTGACCAAATTGTTCATTCAATTTATCAGTTATCACTGTTGACAAATATCTCCCAACCACCGGGACCATGTTTTCTGGTTCGGTTAGGACCTCGTTAATAAAATTATTTTCAGATATTCTGTAATATTTATGTTTTCCTTTAACTTTGTTGTTAATGTGCCAAAGTGTTTTCGTTTTGTTATCTAATAATTGCATTATTATACGATTTTTTCCAAGAGAAATTTTCTTATCAATGTTCTTCTTCAGTAATTTATAATTTTCTTTTACCGTTAAAGTATCTTTCCTCTTGCGTAACCAATCCAAATCCTTTATCCTTTCTCTCATTTGGTTTAGTTCATGTGAAAATTTGATTTTTTAACTTCTAGCACAACCCCTGTATAACCACCATATCCAAATTTATCTCTCACTCCGTGTAACACTCTGCAAGTATACCTACAACCCACATCAGCAAAAAAGCTGAAATAAAAGAAAACAACCTCCATTTCGTGATGGATTACACTTAGCGAGGACTTCGAACTACTCGCATGCTACTAAATGATGCGGAAAGTTCGTCAACCCTCATTTCACTCCCAATTAACTTTTCCAATATTCAAGATGGCGTCTTTCATCCCAAAATTGGAAAATACTCGCGATACATGGCTTACTACGAAGATGTCAATTTTTACGAGATGTCGAAAAGTTATGACACTTTTGCTTAGCTAATATCGAAGCTTCTAGTCGATATTCAAATACCGTTACTTTCTCAGTTCCCAATTTCATTATTTAGAGTTGATGTACGCACTAATATTCATCATGAAATGGTGACAGGTTTGATTTCAATCTTAGTGGTGTTTGTTATGGAATAAAATAATAATAAACAGCTGATGAACTCGGTATAGTTTTCGACACTGAACGAGTTGACCACAACTCTGTCACCAAGTTGGAACCCGTTCAGCAAAAAGCTCAGATAAAAGCCGCAGAGGTCACCTTACTTCTGACACAAGGATAAGCCAATGCATGGGATCTTCTTCAATAACATTGGAGACCTTGGCTTATCAAAGCGCCTGACGTTCGCTTTTCTCAGGTCGAGTGGGCTGAAGTCGGAAACTGAGGAGTCCATCATGGCTTGCCAGGATGGTGTCTTCAACACCTTAGTCTACCGCAGTAGATGGAAATAGAGGTTTCTGACACAAGGTGCAGGGCCTGCCGCGAGGCGCTCGAGACCCTAATGCACTCGCTACCAGCATGTCCAGTATATACGGTCTCGGCGGATATCCGTCGACATAATACAGCGCTGAGAGTGCTATATTACCATCTACGGCACTCTTACGGTATTGACGAGACATCGGTGTTGCCCTACGCTCCGAGGGATATTGAATCCGTTGTGGGGAACGAGAAGTGCCGGATTTATTGGAACTATTCGTTCCCCACCCTCAGGCTCATATAAGCTAATAAGCCTGATGTAGTCCTTCTCGACCACCAGAGCAAAACGATATTTGTCGTGGAGTTTTCAGCTCCTGGCGAGACAAATATCGTCAGAAAAGAGATTTTCTCTTCGAACTCCGCAGACTTTATCCAGATCACTCTGTCAAGATGGTTGTTCTGATTATTGGAGTCCTTGGTGGAGTGATGTCCTCTCTACTCTCGAATCTTGAAATCATACCGGCTTGCCGCACTAAGGCAGAAATCCTAGCCGCACAGATGCAGAAGGCTGTCATTTTTGGCTCACTACGCTTGCACAGGGCACATGATTCTCGGACCCAATGATCACTTACCTCACGGTGTGGGGAGTGGTCATCGGTGTATAATGCTGGCGCGCACTCCCGAATGTATCGGGGCTTCGGGGAAATAATACGTATCCTATCTCCGACAGCAGGGCTATATAGCTCCTTCCCAGCCTACTAACGAAGTGGTAGAAGTGACAGTTCTACCACCCCTCGCCACAAATGGAGTCAATCAGAATATGCAGGGCGCTCCACAGAATTAGTCCCCTGAAGCCACAAGAACTGGCTTGTTTGGATGCGGAAGTTTGTAGTGTTCTAACAGAAGAGGCTGACGGATCGATACTGCCGTGTATAGCGTCGTCCAATCGCTTTCCGAATCGAAAGGACGAAATCCCGGCCTTGCAATTCGGAAGACTGAAGGGCGTGATGGATAACAGGGCGATCAACAGGCCTTTTACGCCCGCAGTGCGGCTAATGGCCGCCAAACTACGACATATCCATCACACTTAAGTCAAGGCGTTCTGCTGACTACCAAACAGCACTGCCTTGATAGGATACGAATGCTAGTGGCTGCTAAGAAGTCACTAGTGAGGCTAGCGAGAAGTCTATCGGTGGGAATGATCAGAATAGTACTTATCTACTCAAAAATTGTTCAGGTTGAATTGGTATTTGAAAAAGTTTGACTGATAAAGTCAGAAACAGAGCTCTTTTGGTATTCAGATTGACTTTCTTCACTTTTCTGTTAAACATTTGAGAGCTGTTGATGTTGGTTTTATTTTGATGTTTACTTTTCTCACATCACTGAGTATGCTCATTCAAAAAAAAGTTGACGAATATCAGGTACACTTCGCTTTTTTGAATAAGGCCTCAGTTGGATGAGTTTTTTTGAATGAATGTAACCTTCACTATCCATTTCTGTATGACATTTAGATTCCTAAGATAACAACCATTCATTCCTCCCCAACCTATTATACCAGAGGATAGTTGGGATTGTACAAATGCGAAGTACAACGTTTCCAAATGCTGTATGTCAAGAAAGTTTTTCAGGTTATTGAATTCAGAAAGTGTAAATTTCAACTTTTTGATTATTTGTTTCATTGAAGATGCCTATCTGAATAGATACCTAGATATTTTATCGACTCGCCTTCAGGAATGCGATTATTGTTTCCTATATTCGAGTTTTCCATATTGGGTAATATACTGCGATATGATGTGGAGGGGAAATATTTAGTTTTGTTACATGAAGAGTATGTACACAAGACAGCCGTATCATTAGCAAAGCTCGAAATTTAACTTTTGTATCTATAGCAGCTCATTCAGATATATTTTGAACATGAGTGGTCCTAGGACCGCTCCTTGCGGAACACCATGAGTAACAATTCTGGGATATATTCTTAACCAAGATTCGCATAGTACTCATCATTCTCAGATTGAATAATCGGTGTTTTCGTTTCAGGTCTAGATTTATTGCATATCTCGTCGACACATTTCTATAATAGTTCTCTTGAGTTTTTACTGTTATTTATCATTTTCTGAGCATATTTTCGGGCGAATGAGCCCGAAACCGGTCTGCAAGTGTGCCCGTTCCAAAATTGAGGGTCGACTCGTTCAGTTGTATTGCCAATTGTATAGGCAGGAAATTTTCTGTGAAGATTCCTGTACTGACGCCTGTCGGATATAATCCAACGCCCTTCGTGGTATTACCCAGGGGAGTAGTTGTTTTCTGATAGGCGTTATTCCATTGAACCTACTGTGAATGTTTAAAGTTCATTTGCTTCAGATTCGTTATATAACTGATTAAAAATGATGAAATGTGGAGATATTCATCCCAGTTTAACTTATTGATTATAGGAACATATTTTAACTTACAATATATCGAAATGCGGGGGACGAACGCATCCTCTTTTTGTTTCAATCTTCGCAGGGCTCATTCTTCGATATGGTTCCAGTCTACCTCCATTTCATGTTGGTTTGTTCTGCAAATAAAAAGAATTATCACCCACTGAGAAAATTTTCAAAACATTTTTTAATCGTATCGAATCTTATGTGTTGTGTGGCGTTCATAGTGGAAATTAGTGTATATGCGCAAAGAGAAAGACAATATCTCTCTCTATCTCTGCCTGTTATTCCTGTTGTGTAATGAAGAAGTGTTTTATGTTTTCTGCATAATTGCGTTGGATTCCAACATAAGAAACTACTTTTATCATAACCTCACTTATACATAATATACTCAATACAGAGTGAGTTTTATATGTTACAACTATTTTTATATAGTTTTTTTTTCATTGTCAAGTTAGCGGGAATTCGGTCAAAACGTCGAAGAAAACCAATTGCTGAATGTTTAACGTTTGGAAAATTTATGGTTTCGTCTTCAGAACGCTGAAGTATGAGAACAAGACATACATATTGAAATGGGATTCTAGAATGTAGTATTGTTGAAAACAAAATGAAATATTGTCAAATATAGAAAATAATCATGAAATGATTCAGATTCATTTGAGTAAATACATGAATTGAAAGATGTTCCAACCTCACTTCAATATTTTAACACAAGAACACTCAGTATTCAGAATTCCATCTTTTGATATTTCAAGTTCATAGACATCGAAATTGATCTGATCACAGGATATGGAATATAAAACAATCTCCAAATATGCAAACTTGGCACAGATTTGCATGCTGTGCATTTTACCTCAGTACAGTGACCGGATCAAAGTCGCAATGTCAGCGTATAATTCTTTATAAATATTGAGGGAGGTCAAGATCATGGATCAGAGTTAACAGTTAACAGTCAACAGACAGTATTCATTTACGTATCGATTGGGTCATCAGAAATGCAGCACATCTCCTTTTCTTCAATCCTGCTGGGTGGCAGTATAATGTAAGTTTTTTGATTATTTTAATGTATTTTTTTTTTATTAACATTGAGTGTGAGTTTATTTAAAGTATTTTTCCGTTTCTTTCACAATAAATATTTAATTAAGTTTTAAATGAGTTCTTTCATTATTTGGATGAATGAATGAATGAATGGGTGAAACAGCAAATAAAAATCCTCTCGTTAATAGCCAAGCGAGAACTGAGTTGCGACAATATGTGAAATTACAATCGTTATAAAATAATAAAACACTTTACAGAAAACAACGTTGGTCAATCACTGTATGCCACTTCCAAATGTTTTTGAGTACTCAGTTCCATTTTCACACACAAAGTTTGATGCAAATTCTTTGATCAATTTTTTTCAATAGCAGAAAATCACTGAATACAAAAAATACTCCAAACAGCTGAATTTGTGAACAAATATTCGGGACGAATTAAAAAAATATCAGGAAACTCTACTCCTTCCTGAGGAATGAATCAACTGAATCTTTTCTAATGCTTCTGATGTGCAAGGAACTTCGTTTCTACAAGGAATTGCAAGATACAAAAGTGCTTTCTTGATTTCCAGAGAGATTGAGAAGCAACCATGATTTTTGGAGTTTTGAAAAAGTTTAGAGTGTTGAAAAAATATCAGATAACATTTTCTACTGCTTTTTTCTGAGGAATAACTCAATTGATGCTTTCCCAATGCATGATTATTCGCTTGATTGAAATTGCATTCACCGAATGATAAACCACCTCGACATCCAACAGAATGCAGATATAAGGACGAATAATTATTTTGCGGTAAAAAGTCAGCATAGCGTTCTATTTATTGGCCTCTGTGGATTAAAATTCAATAGTAATACGCCTCGAATTCTTTCATGAAAAGAAAAATTCTTCCACAAGGGTATATGTTCGGAAATGGAAAACTCCTTCGGGAAATCGTATTTAATCTTCAATGGATTATATAATTGGAGGACGAGAAAAAAATAAATTGTGTTGACTCCAATGAATATCATCATTGAAAGTCACCAGAGAACAGAATTGTTGAACATTTTGAAAAAAATACAGTTGAAAATTGATGTAATATTGATATAACAAACTACTCAATGAGATATAAATAAACATTTCAAATCAAACAAAAGATCACCTCCTTATGAGCTTGTAACTTTTTTTAACAATGAAAAAATGTATTGCAAGTTATTTTATTTTGAAAGCCAATACAAATGGCTACCAAATACATGCTAAATAATCGAATAATGAAGAACTACCAAAATCAAAATGAAAACTCTTCAATTATTGAAAATAAAAATGGACAATTGATGGCTCAGTATCTCGTGTTTTCTCTTCTGGCAGAAATCACAGCTCGTTTTCGCCGGGGCATGGTTCTTATGAACCTCCTGAGGTTTTTATAAGGCAAACCCTCCCACTCTTCTAGAACAGCAATTTTCAGCTCATCCAAAGTGGTGGATTGGTTTTGACGACTTTGGATGCTCTTTTTCAGTCAATGGGATTCAGGTCGGAGCTGCAAGCGACCCACTCCAAAGTAGTGATATTGTGGCTTGTAGGTAATGAACTTTGAGACGTAGGAACGGGCCCCATCGATTATAAAAATGAAAGTTTGCCCTGCTGCTTCTCCTCTGTGACGTATCAGGACATCCTACACCTCATTAAAACTCCTTTGGCGGTCAGGGATCCGTTGTGGATTACTACAAGGTGTGTACGATCATTGAGTGTTATTTTACCCCACACCGTTATTGATCCACCTTCTTCTGTATACTCTGGCTCGACCATCATTACCAACTAGAGACTTGGCCACCTACGGGCCTCCTACGGGCCAATTCTCTAGTTATTGGTAACGATTTCAAAGTCTTGAAACCGTTACTAACAGCCCTAGTGACCTCATTGTCAAAAAAAAACTTCATACACCTGCCATTGTACATTAACAAGAGGCACTAAACAGAAAATATGTGAACTGCACCTTGTAAGTTCGATTGAAAACTGGTTACTACTTGGATTCATGTTCTTTTCTATCTCTGTTTCGGTATATTTGCAAAAAGACGAGAATCATCTTTACTAATCCGAAATCAAGAAATAAAAGCTACCTCTGTTGTTTCTTAGCAAAGTTGTCCACAACCAACACATTATTATATCCATTGTGATATTGAATATGTGCACGGACCACATGACACCGAAGTACACCTTTAACACAAAATTCACGGCCAAAATCATAAGTGGTGAAGAGTGGAAGACCATTAGTCATCCCGAAAACATGTTTGGGAAAAACAACTGGTATACAGATGAATCTGAGACCAAACATGGAACGGGAGCTGGAATATACCGAGTGGATAGAAGTTTAAACTACAGTTATCCGCTAGGACTATACACATCTGTCTTTCAGTCGGAAGTGTATGCTCCCTTGCAGTGGGCCAGGCTTATCAAATTGAGACCTCAAAGAAATGAGCGGATCAATATTTCAACATACAGCAAGAGCGCACTAGGGCCTCTGACAAAACTGGTCTGCGAATGCCATGAAGAACTGAATGAACTTGCAGATAGAAACAAATTAATCTTGTACTGGGTGCCAGGGCATTCAGGAATCACAGGTAATGATAAAGTTAATGAATGCGCTAGACAAGGATCATCAACTTCATATATAGGTCCTGAACCAGCTCTGGGGGTACCAAAATTATTGATACGAAACCAGATTAGGATATGGGCCAAAAAGAAGTACACAGAGTACTGGACAGAAGTACCTGGCAACAAACACAGTGTGACATCCTGTATATAGTATTAGTGTAGCATTCTGTACATAGTCCTTTTTATATATCATTTAAGAATCGAGGAGCAGTATGTCTAGGTGAGCGAGAGAATAAAGATCGGAAAATAAGGAGTTGTTTTATTTAAGTTGAATACATCACAAGTGGCGACGAGTGATATTCTGAGTTATAAAAAGTGCAAATTCATTTTTTCACGCTCAGCAGTGAACCCCGAGTCGATAAAATGACGGAATCTGTACAGTATACGGGACATATTCAGGAATTCAATCCTGCAACGTCGGATTGGTCGATTTATAAACGTCGTTTGAACAATTGTTTCACGGCAAATAGTATCAACAAAAGTGAACGGAAACGTGCCATTCTTTTAAGTTTATTGAATGAAGAGGCATATCAACTACTATTCAATATGTTCATTCCAGAAGAACCTGAAACAAAATCTCACGAAGATATTGTGAAATCCATGGACAATTATTTTTAACCGGTAGTGTCTGTTTTTGCGTGTCGCGAAAAATTTTTCGAAGCACGAAAATCAGCCAATGAATCTCCAAAAGAGTGGGGTGCAAGACTGCGATCATTAGTGGCAAATTGCAAATTTTCTGGAACTGATGAAATTTGTAAGGCTTTAGTAAATCGTTTTATCATCGGCTATGACTCTGGTCGAGTGAAGGATAGGCTTTATGAAGAAAAAGAAACAGTGACTTTTGCTGAAATCATAGAAATTGCGTCTTCCAAAAGTACGGTTGTACAAAATTACAACAGCACTGTCAAGATGGAACCAGAAATCTACTACACGAAGAATAAGTCCAGATCTTCTGAGCACAAGAAACCTCTTCCATTCCGAGTGGCATCGTCAAGAAAAAACAGCTGTGAAGACAACAGTCCAGCAGGTACGAGCGGCGGCAATTCGGGATCAGGAGGCGGCGGCTCAAAGAGGGGAATCCGTATCAATCCACCATCACATTCTAAATGCTCCGTTTGCGGCCGTAAGAATCATAAAACAGATAAGTGTTCTTATAGAAATTGTAACTGCCATATATGTGATAAAAAAGGGCATCTTGCTCCTATGTGTTCAAATAAAAGAAATGCAAATTCATTCAATGAATTGAATGAAAGTAAAAACTTTTTAGAATCGAAAGACTATTCTCTTTACAGTTTGGAAGCAAAAACCAACCCGGTTTTTATAAAACTTTTTATAGATAATAAATTGTTCACTTTTATTTTGGATACTGAAGCAAGTTATACGGTAATTTCTCGCACATTTTATGAACAAAATTTTGAGGAAATAAATTTTAAAACAGCTGACAAGGTTTTTTGTTTGTATAATGGGGACAAGATTGTACCATTGGGTTATTTTGATTGCAAGGTAATTTATCAAGATAAACAATTTGATTCAGATATATATGGGGGAATTGTCTGAGAAAAGAACCAAAGAACTTTTTCAATATAGTAGGGATCGGCTCAGAATAATTACAGGGTCACTAACCGGTTATTGTCCGCTTAGAGGACACCTGAATGAAATGGGGCTATACAATGGATACCTCAGCTGGAGATTATGCAACGAAGGGATAGAAACAGCTCTACACATCTTATGCGAATGTGAGACACTGAATCACAGGAGGCAGGCAATATATGGAAGTACAAAATGACATTCAGAAGAATACGACGAACATCCAACACGGAACCTGTACAAACCAGTACAGGGAACGAGACTGAAGTAATGATATTCCAATTGTTTTCCTGAGTACATTTTTGGTAGATAATGATACACATCAGATTCCTAATTTTTTTCTGTGATAGAATATTAGTTGTACATTCTTTTTTTTTGGGCGTGGACGATAAAAATACCCAAAAAACTTCAACTTAAATGTTCCAAATAGAACAATGAGAGCACATGAATTATTTAATTTACCTTTCAAGAGAACAAACTGTTCGCAGAACTCTCCTCTATGTCGATGCGTTAAATGGGGTAATTCTCTCGCGAACTAGTTCGATATTTTTAATACTTCTTTGCTTACTGCCAAAAAAATATTGAAAGATTATTTTCATAAATTATAATTAACACATTTCGTCAATAACTATTAATTAGTTTTCATTGTTATTGTATTTGATTTTAGTTCATACCTTACTTTAGATACTGTGTACATGTGTAGTATAGATATTATTCTAATTTAATATTGATTTAATTATGTGGATACTGTAGTGGATTTTTTTTCTGTTTGTATCCCGAATATATATAAATAAACTCTTTGTAGAATACGTCCTTGGATAGGTCCGCATGTGTGTCATATCTCTCATATTGTTTTGCAATACACTAATACAATATTCTCCAATACTGACTCGAATCTAATCCATTTCCATTCATGTTGGAATATACCAAGCTTTAATTCTCTGCATAATTGCATCAGCGTATACATACTGTTGCGCTCCCAGTGAATCCATTTATCAGGGCCAAAGGTAATGAATTATTCTTGTGATTTATGCGGCACAAATTGCATAAATATCCGTCAAAAATTCCTACGAGAGGCGAGGATAATATTTTCTCCTATTCAACGCGATGTTCGTTAATGCTTTCACTCTGACATTTCGTAATTGCTCTGTCTATGCCCATTTATATTGATGGATACGATGACGTCTTTTTGAAGCAGGTGTAGGTTTCCACGAGTTTGGAAAGCTAGGCTGTTTGGATTGTATGGATTTGGAATAATATTTTCATATGTGCTACATGCCTGGTGGGTGTCGAAAGAGGTGGAGGAGAAAGGGGAAGCTATAATTGAAAATTAACGGAATTGTAGAGTTTTCATTAGCAGGAAAAAATTGGGCAAGCAAAATGAAAACAAAATAAAAGGTTCGACGAAATTCTGTGAAATTGAATATGTTTCTTTTTGTTGCTGATGAGTGCCTACAGAGCTACTTTTTTTCAAGAAGAACATTCGTTGCACTATTCCACATTCTTTTCGAAGCCTTTTGCTCTTCCTGTTGATGTTCAATGATATACAGAGTGGAACATAAGTACGTATTCGGGTGACGTATTCCTGAGACGATTTTAAGAAAAACAGTCTATATGAAACTTGTGTTCAAAAATGCTTCGTTTCGGAGATACGGGGTGTTGAAATTGAATTTTTTTGTTCACTTTTTGAAAATAACTCTTGCAAAAAATAAGTTTTTTGCACGAAATTCGGTACCCGGGGTTTTTTTGATGTGGGGAATCATAATTTCGTATTAATTTTCATGTAACATCTAGGGGGCGCTGCGTACGCTGTCATTATTCATTTCAAATTGTCCTAACTTTTTTGACAGTAAACTTTTGGTACTTTCCATGAAAAAACCTAATTCCCACACCTTTTCCAAGTAAAAAAGGTAGACCTCCTCAACAACGCTGGAGGTGATCGTTTTCGAGATACGTACAATTTTCTATATCGATGCATATTACTTTATTGCCAAATTTGATTTCGATAATTTCTGTCACTCTCCGCTTGCCAATTAAGTTAATTAAATCGAGTAGGCTATGAAAGTTTGTTTATAAAAATAGAAGTTCGCTGTCATATTTTTAACTATTAATTGACAAATTCACAGATCGGAGTTCATAAAGTGATTTTTGGTACTATGCTTGACTTTACGAATGCTGAAATGGCTGATATGGTTTTTGCATACGGCTTGGCTGACGGAGATTCAAGCGAGGCCTGACGCATCTATCAGGAAACGTATCCCCAATGCGTGACTCCTTGTGCAGCGACATTTGCGAATATTTTTCGGCGACTTTCCGAATCTGGAAGCTTTGAAACAAATTCTGCAGGAGGACGGCCACGGACTACAAGAACTGTAGAATTGGAGGAGGCGGTTCTCGAAGAAATTAGTGAACATCCAGAGACAAGTACAAGATAAATTAGTGAAACTTTAAATGTGAGTCACATGACAGTTTACAGAATTTTAAAGGAACAGCAATTACCTCCTCATCATATTCAGCATGTCCAGGCACTTACGCCACGTGATTTTCAACCACGTATCGAATTTACTCAATGACTTCAAAGAAAAGTCGAACAACACCCGCAAATTTTATCGAAAATCCTCTTCACATATGAGGCTAATTTTTCAAGAACTGAACTTCCATAACAACCACATCTGGGCAGAAGATAACCCACATGCGATAACGCAAACTCATTTCCAAGACAGATTCTCTTTTAATGTATGGGTAGGCATAATTGAGGATTATTTAATTGAGCCCTTTTTTCCCCCCTTACGTTTTAATGGAGATGCCTACCAACATTTTTTGGAACACGAGCTTCCCCAACTTATGGAAAATGTTCCCATTGGTCTCTGAAATCACTCTTGGTTTAAGCACGATGGAGCTCCTGCTCATTTTAGTGTGATACCAAGAAATTTTTTAGACGTAGCATATCCCCAACGATGAGCATTGGTTCCCGAGGTCACCGGACCTCAATTCCGTTGATTTTTCCTTTTGGGGGCACCTAAAGTCACTATTTTAAGCTAGTCCCATTGAAAACGAGGAAATTTTGTGGGATCGCATCATAGCTTGCTGCGAAACGATAAGAAACACTCCGGGCATTTTTCAATGGGTGCGGAATTCTATGATGAGGAGAGCAGAAGCTTGTATTAGTGTTGGGGGTCGTCACTTTTTCATTTTTCAATTTGTATGTTTATTTTCATAATAAATAACCTAGTACTTCTCCGAATTGCTTTTTTACAAAGTCCGAAATGTAGCACTTTCTAATTGAATAATTGAACCTGACAAATTTTTTTAATTTGGATTTAATAAGCAGTTCGATAATGCTCAGTTTGAAGGAAGTCTGTATGGGTATACTGCGTATAAAATGATGAAAATTGCAAAACACTTATGACAAAAACCTACCATGTTTTGAAAAATTTCAACAATCTGAATTTCAAAAACGAATCATTTTTCGTTAAACATTTTATAGGAAAAAGTTGTTTTTTTGACAAGATCCACCACATACTTAGTTGAAAAGTAAATTGTTATTATCTCGAAAACGATCACCTCCAGCGTTGTTGAGGAGGTGTACCTTTTTTACTTGAAAAATGTGTGTGAATTGAGTTTATTCATGAAAAGTACCAAAAGTTTACTGTCAAAAAAACTGGCAATTTGAAATAAATACGCAGCGCCCTCTAGATGTTACATGAAAATTAATACGAAATTATGATTTCCCACGTCAAAAAAATCCCGGGTACCGAATTTCGTGCACATTACTTATTTTTTGCAAGAGTTATTTTCAAAAAGACAACGAAAGAATTCAATTTCAACACCCCGTATCTCCGAAACGCAGCATTTTCGGACACAAGTTCATATAGACTTTTTTTTTAAATTGTCTCAGGAATACGTTACTTGAATATTTCAACGTACTTATGTTACACCCTGTATAGTGATTTATCCGATTTTTCTCACTCTGCTTCTTCGAACCAAGATTTCTCCATACTAGTGAATTGTTAAAATCTGTGATTGCTTTGACGATTTTGTAGATGTCTATATGAGGATCTCAACAGAGTATTGCTTTTCAGCAATGTTTGCAGCTTCAACCTTAGGAATGTTTTCGAACATACAATATTCAATCAAGGACATTGTGAACCATATTCGAACATACAGTTTCTTCAAAACTTTAGAAGCCCAAAACTAAAGGCCACCTGAATGGGAAATAGAAGATCTCGAAGTTCACGAAAACCAAAAATGTAATGAACTATGGAATGAAGAAAAAACCTGAAATCGTTCATTGGTGATTAGGTAAACTGGTTAATTCAGGAGCTGAAGTTAAGCTTTCAGGTTAATATCAGGATGGTTTAAGTTAGGCCAAGATTTGATATGTGCTGATCACTAAAATGAAAGAAACTTACTGATAGATTTCAAAAAGTATGTGTTAATTTTGTAATGAACTGATATACAAAACTTGTCTTGATTATAACTGCCCCACCTGGAACAAACACTGAAGTATCCTCATGAATGGTATTGAACCGCATCACAAATCGCCACGTCACATGAATGCAAATCACGAATACTTCGTCGGTGTGTCCGAATACTAACAAAACATCGCAATTGCATGTGGACTGGTGAGAAATGGCCTTTGGCCTGTGTTTACACTGAATTATCGCCCGCTAACCGCGAACAAAGTATCAGTGGTCCGTTGTCAAATGGCGTAGCATGTTTGTAAACAACACATAAAAATTAACATAGCTTTACGGTCACGGGCAGATTCGAGAGTGTGCCAAACTCATTGAATGGTAATTCTGAAGGTCTTGGAAATGGGTTGTGTCTTACGTGTGAATCAGTATAGAAAGTGTTCTGGGCAATATTCGTAGGAACCGGTTTTGATCGTATCTTCGTTTCTCAACAAATTCAAGATTTTGAATAGTTTCTATATGTTCAGCCTCATTCACAAATGGACCTTTCTATCAGCTTGGTACTTCTCTCTAGGTCTTGAAAATGGATTCTGTCTCGAATCATGATGGAAATGGTCCTGGGCAATATTCGTAGGAACCAGTTTTTAATCGCATCCTCATTCCTCAACAGTTTCAAGACTTTGTTTACCAAAGTTTATGTTATGTTCAGCCTCATTTACGAATGAATCTCTTTATCGGCTTGATACTTTTGAAGGTGTTGGAAATGGGTTCTGTCCTACAGGTGAATTACGAAATAAAGTGTTCTGGACAATATTCGTAGTAACCGGTTGTTGATCGTATCTTCATTTCTCAACAGTTTCAAGACTTTGAATAGTTTCTATATGTTCAGCCCCATTTACAAATTAACCTTTCTGTCAGTTCGGTACTCCTCAAGGTCTTGGAAATGGGTCCTGTCTCAAACGTGAATCATGATACAAATGGTTCTGGACAAAATTCGTAGGAACCGGTTGTGGTCGTATCTTCATTTCCCAACAATTTCAGGACTTTGAATAGTTTCTATATGTTCAGTCTCATTTACAAATGAACCTTTCTATCAGCTGAGCTTGGCACTTCTAAAGGTCTTGGAAATGGGTTCCGTCCTACAGGTGAATTACGAATGAAAGTATACTGGACAATATTCGCAGATACCGGTTGTTGATCGTATCTTTATTTTCCAACAGTTTCAAGACTTTGAATAGTTTCTATGAGTTTGGCCTCATTTACAAATGAATCTTTATATCAGCTCAATACTTCTGGAGGTCTTGGAAATGGGTTCTGTCTTACAGGTGAATTTTGATGAAAAGTGTTCTGGGCAATATTCGTAGGAACCGGTTGTTGATTGTATCTTCAATTACCAACAATTTCAGGGCTTTGAATAGTTTCTATATGTTCAGTCTCATTTACAAATGAACATTTCTATCAGCTCGATACTTTTGGAGGTCTTGGAAGTGGGTTCTGTCCCACAGGTGAATTTCGATGAAAATTATTCTGGGCAATATTCGTAGGAACCGGTTGTTGATCGTATCTTCAGTTTCCAACAGTTTCAAGACTGAATAGTTTCTGTTATATTCAGCCTCATTTGTTAGGAATCACTCGTTGAAAGGTAAGACCTCGTTAGTCCTTGGCTCGCACGTTTCCACTTCTGCCACAGCCAGTTAAGGGAAAAGCATATTTCAAACATATTCTTTACAAATTCACAAAAAGAAACTATTCAATCTGCTCGGTACTTCTGAAGGTTTTGGAAATGGGTTCTGTCTTAAGTTGAATTCATGATAGAAAGTGTTTTGGGCTATATTCGTAGGACCTGGTTGTTGATCGTTTCTTCATTTCCCAACAGTTTCAAGACTTTGGATAGTTTCTATTCTGTAAACTATCTATCATTTATAAAAAGCCATACCATCAGCTTGGATTTTTTCCTTCAATTCACGATATTTTGGCTAATGAACAAATTAATCCTTTCATATCAATCAATCATATCAATAAATTGAAAGTTCCTAGCCTCTTCATCTTATTTGAAAATTCCTATGGCTGGGATTCAATCAAATAACCGAATTAATGTTATATACGTACTGCCGTCGATGACATGGGTGGATTCAACCCATTCCGTGACAAAAAGTTGTGATTTTATGAACGAATTGTTATCCATATTGGCTACCGAAGAGTCGAAAAGTCAAGTGTCATACGGCGAAATATTGTATATCTAGCAGTGAAGATGACAGTGTTCCAAGTCACTGAAATGTTTCTCCTTTCAACAATTATATAGTGTAGAAATCCTGTGAATGATATCTGTTTCGATTCCATTACGAATGTTTGGAATACAAACGGAATAGAGAAAGGTGTTTTTCATATAATTCAGTGTTCATATAGAAGTATTAGGTTAGAAAGTATGTATCTTCCGTGTATTTCAATGTAATAGCTGTATCGAGAGAACTTTTTCTTCCAGTTTGTGCCTGAAAGTTACTTCTTTGTGTTATCTACAAGTCTTTCTATAGACTTGATTTTTTGAAATCGATTCCTTTCTTCCTTTTTTTGAAAGATTTCCCCATTTTTCGTATCAATATGGAGAAGTAGAGAGCCAACACCTTAAGAGTTTCTCATATTGTTGTGGCTACTTCACGTTAAAAACGTTTTTGAGGAATAGGATATTTTTTGATTAACTCTAATAACAGAAGTAACTAACTCATCTGGAATTCATATCCCACAGTCCCACACGAATTACTATGAATCTAACAAAGGCGCGACTATCCGAGATGAATACTGAAATGGATAATGAGTCCGAACGCTGTATTGATATGCTGGATGAAATGTTCGTGTTCCAGACCAGCGGAGTAAACTTCGGAAGTAACTCTCAGTTACATTCTGGATCGCTGATTATCCTGATATGGCCGAGGGAAGCTGAAAGTGTGTAGTGGAAAGTTACCTAACTAACACGGGCAGCTAATTTGGTGATTCAATATAGTTCGTTGCTCAATTTAACGGAAGATACACTACAAGTGAACCTCATATTCTCCAGCTGATCAGTTTTCTTGCAGTCGCTTGTAGAATGTCGAAAGAATTCTAAAACATCAATGGAAAAATCATGCGAATGATAGAAAACACAGAGGATAATTCGCAAAGTGGTTTTAGAAAGGAAAGAATTACGCTTGACAATATATGTAGTACAAACAGCAAGAGAAGAATATATTAATAGCCTTTGTAGACCTAGAAAAGGCATTCGATAAAGTACCACCACAGAAATTATGGCATATACTAGCGAAAAGAGGAATAAACAGGGGAGTAATGAAAATGATAAACTACATTTACCAAAACCCATCATGTCGCCCATCATGTTTTGCAACAAAACCATTCCATAGACTTCGGTTCATCAAGATGAGTCAGACAAGTTAACAACAACAGGCATCTAGATGCCTATGAGGGCTTAGAAATAAGTCAACATGATATTATGAATAACGATGATGGACCAATGAGTAATCATTCACTATATAGCTCGTTCGGGGGAAGGGTAATTTTTCTGAGGTATAGGATTTGATTTTCATAATAACAAAAAAAAAATTTGAGAAAAATTGATGATGATGTCACCGACCCATTATCCACACCAAACAGAGACTTTTTAGGGATGCATCGGTAGCTCTTGCAATGCTTGTGGCTGGTATTCACTCCAGGTGCGGCAATTTTGCTTGTTAACGTATCCATTCAACCAGAAATGAGCCTTATCGCTGAACAAAATTTTTCGATACAAATGTGGATCTTCTTCCAACTTTGCCAGCGCCTATTCACCTAATGTTAGACGTTGTGGGAGGTCGTGTGGCTTCAATTCTTGTACAAGCTGTATCTTATAAGGTTTCACACCCAAATCCTTCCGCAAAATTTTCCACGTAGTGGAATAACAGAGGCCCCATTGCTGCGAACGGCGGCGAATCAACATTTTACGGTCATCACAAACACTGGCGGATACAGCCGCAAAATTTTCTTCGGTCCTTACTCTACGTATGCGTGTTGGTGGTTTAATGTCCAATAATGGGTTCGACATTTAGTCACAAGCTTCCGAATAGCTCCTTTAGTAGGCCAACGAAACTGCCCATAAATTGGAAGAAGTTCACGATGCACTTTCTTCACCAAGCATGCATTTGGTAATAAAATACAATAATTTGCAAGCGTTGTTCATTCGTAAGTCGGTTCATGGTTAAATAATAGACCAAACTGAACAAGATTGACAATGACAAAGGACACGATTCACGCATGATCTGTCAAAAACATTGTTGCTAAAAAGATACCAGCAAAAAAATCACTCATTATTATGAGCAGATAGTTGTTGGTTCACAGATAGATAAAAAACACCATCCGATTCTGGTGAAGGTGTTTTCAGTCGCAGACCCAGGACAGAGATATCAACCTGCCTAGGAACCTATGCGACTGTATTTCAAGTGGAAATTTACTCTATTGAATTGTGCATAGAGAGAATGGAAGAATCCAACCTCATACACAAGTCAACAAAATATTCTTGGACAGTCAAGCGATGTTGGAAGCTCTTCCCTTCTATCGAACAACGTCTAAATTGGTAGCAAATTGCCAAAAACGATTCTCCTCGATAGGAGGAGACTGTCTGTCGTCTGGATTCCTGGCCATATTAGCCTGGAAAGCAATGAGGCTATTGACTTCCTTGCAGAGGAGGGTGCTGCAAGCAGCTTCATCGAACCAAAACCTGTCACTGGTATCGCTTTAGGCCTTACCAAACATAGTTTGAACACCTGGATGGCAAGAATAATTATGGACTTCTGGCAAAAATCTTTCAGGATTGGTTATCTCCAAGGCGTTTTATTCACCTTTCGAAGCTTGATTCCAAACAGTTGTTGGACTACAGTAGGGATGAACTACGATATCTAACAGGCCTTATTACAGGTCACTGTCATATGAATCATCATATTCAGAAACTCGGACTGCCGGAAGACAGTGTCTGTCGCCTCTGTTTGAAAAATTATGAAACAGCAGAGCACATACTTTGTGCCTGCCCCGCTTGGGACCCAATCAGGTTTTAAGAGTTTGGCAGAACCGTACCCTCACCATATGGCCTAAAAGACCACTTACCATACAAACTGATTGGCTTCGTTGAGAAGCTGGGTTTATTTGGTAGTTTTCATCTGTTCAACGTTACGGCTTCTTC